TCTGAGCACGCGGTGAGCTCAGCAAAGTTGTGCGCGTCTTCGCGTATCGGCTCGCTGGTCGCGGCGCACCCGAGTTCCCTGCCAGAGGTGAATGTGGATTGCGATCTGCTGTGCATGATGGTGTCGTGCTCCTCCCCTAGGGATTGGGAGGCTGGCTTACTGTAGTGGGGGCAGGCCAGCGGCTTCTCTGAAGGGTCCCCTGCCCCTCAGAAGCGAGGCGCCCACGCCGCATACTTCCAGGGGGAATCTACAGACACTAACCATCGTCGATTTCTTAAACAACTATGGGAGTGGAGGAGAAGACGAGCATGGATAGCATGCGGAAGCATATGGGGAATCATGGGTTTGTGCCTATTACCTTGTGCGTCCCTGGGCCCTTTCAACACTTCCCAGACCTCTCGACGCCTTCCCCAGAGCCTGCCTATCGTCCTGGGGTCCTGGGGCCCAGGAGTGCCCCTCCCGACATCGAAAGTGGATGTCACCGTTCGCCGGAGGTCTGGGTCAGAGGCGGGGATCAGGAGTTTCATCCGCCTGCCCCTGACCATCCCCCCCCCGCGCGCGCCGCCGTGGGCTTTCAGCGTGCACACGGGAAAGTTGCAACGACCACCAGTCAGATCCCCCAGAAGAGGAGGGGGAGGATCCAGAGTCGAGGAGTTGCGGCTCTGTTTCTGTCGCCCTCTTCGGGCTTCTTTGGGCGCTGTCGTGCCCTCTATTCGACCCGCCTCCAAGTTTTATTACCAGCGCCCGCCTCGGGAGAAAACGCTGGCGACGCGGAAGAATCGCGCCGACGATGATTCATAATCTCCTGGGTGTAGGGGGGCGTTTCCAGGCCCTGGGACAGCTCAAGGCCACAGCCAAGACGCTGGAATAACAGTCAAAATCCATAGTAAGGACGCACCTTTCTCTAGGGTACCCTTTGGTCCCTGCCTGCCTCTGCCTCTGCGTCCCTGGGGTTACGGCCGCCTGCCGCCCAACATATCCCAACTTCGGTTTCCAAGAATCTTGCACCCTTACCCCGCGTGCTTGACACAGATTTTGACTGGAAGGACCACGCTGTGCTCACGAGGGGCTCGGTTGTCGGGCCGCTCTTCAGATCCGGGTCGGGGGTCCTTTCGCAGCCGAGACTCGCCGCTGCCAGGAAATACTCTCCGTTCCCTGTCCGGCGGTTCTCTCGGCAGCACCACGGCGGCGTGCAGCGCCAGAAGCCGGTCTGGGGGATAGTGGGCCGATGGGGGCTCCTCGGGTGGCGGGCGGCTCGGACAGGTCGAGCCGTCGGGGGTCCCGGTCCCCCGTGTGGGGCGGGCGCGGAGCCGATCGGGGACGGCCAAGAGGGGGGGTGTGTGTGACTGTTACCAGCCTCGAACGTTCGGGCGAAGAGAACTATGCACATGCACCGATCCTTGCAAGGCCCATCCTTGACCCAGGATCGGTGCATATGCCTTCCTGGCCAAGGTAGGAGGGCGTATGCACCGATCCTGGGCTCAGGATGGGCCTGGCCAGAATCGGTGTATGTGCATAGTTCTTTTTCCTCTAGTGTGACTGTTACCAGCCTCGAACGTATCCCTATCCCTAAGAGTGACACGCCAAAGGGCGATGGCAATCTTAGGGATTCGCCCTTAACAAAGGACGGAATCCCTAAGATTGGCGTCGTGATGAGGAGATGCCCAGCATAATTAGGGATAGGGAAATGCTCCTGGCTGGTAAGACTAGGGGGGGTTGACTCGAGGCGGGGGCCAGGAGATCTCCCCAGGAATGTCATGGCGCCTCTTCTTGTTGGAGCACGTCCCCGGGCCCCCCCCCCTCCCTGGGCCGGGCACATGCCGCCGGCCATGATTTGCGCCCCCCCCTCGTGGACTCCCATTCGGGCGTGTCCTCCTACAGGATGATTTTATTTTGGACGAAAAATTGGAGACACCCCCCAAAATAATCAAAATATGCCAAACAAATTCGTCCCCTGACTTTTTGTTGACTATTTTCGAATTATCCCCTGTAGAGGGACAGGCCCGACTGAGTCGTGGACGCCTCCCTCTTGGCCGCCCCCGAGCTGAGGAGGCGATGCCGCCCGTAAGGGGTGATGCCGAGCGGCGAGGGCTCCCACAGCGCGGCCCCGGGCTGTTTCTCCGAGGCAGGAGCCCGTGTGTAGTTCAGGAGGGGGGAAGACACACAGACACAATCTATCGTCGACTCCCCGGAAAATATGGGAAAACATAGGAAGTGGGGGGAAGACGAAAACCCAGAAAACATTTGAAAATGTGGGGAATGTTTGGATTTGTGTGTGTGTGTTTATTTTATCGCTTCGCTCATTCCGCGGGCCCTAGAGACCTCTTTAGGGCCTCTTGGGGGCCTCTTGGGGACCTCTTGGGAGTCTCTTAGGAGTCTCTTGGGGCTCCTTGGCGGTGTCTTGGGGGGCCCCAGGGCCTCTTGGGAGGCTTTTGGGGGCCTCTCGGGGCGGGAGGGGGGGTAGTCGATTGCGGCTCCCCCCATCGGAGGCCACGATCCTCGTGAGGGGTGTCGAAGAATGGCCCTCCCCTGGAGTGCTCTGGGGGCTTCTCCCGTGACCTTGCCGGGGTACTTTTCGTCCGGGGGCCCCCCAGGGGCCGCTCCGCGCGCGCGAACTAGAAATATTGTTAGCCAGGTACCAGAGATCTTAGCACGCCTCTGGCCCGTGGGGCCGGCGAATTTGTGTGTGTGTCCCTTGTGTATAGTCACCGCCCGGGATGGTCGATCCTCGGAGGCCTCGGCGGGCAGCGGGTGTTGATGTCGGGGACATCATGGCGGGGGCCATGATATTTCCCCAGATCTCATGGCGCCTCTTCTTATTTCATTACGTCCCTGGCCCCCCCGCTGGGCCGCGCGTATGCCGCCAGTCATGATTTGCACCCCCCCCCTCTTGGACACCCCCCTCTTGGCCGCTCCCAATGATGTGTCTGGGGGCTCCTGGGCCAAATGTGCCTCCATTTCCACCGCGCGCTGGGGTGCCAGGATCTCGGTCCTCCAGGCGGTGGATGTGCGTGTGCAGGCGCATACACACACATTTGTACATACATCTGTATACATATATATATATATATATATACACATATAACGGCGCACCGGGTCCGGGGGCCCGGGGCCGGGACCCCGACCACAAATGTGGGCTCCGGGGGGCCCGGAGGCTCGTCGGACCGCCGGACGCCGTCCAAGATCGTTCGCAGGCGGCTTCGAAACGCGCTCCGATGGCTCCAGATGCCTTCCAAGACGCCTGTCATGACACCAAGAAGGTCCCAGAAGCCTCCAAGACGCTCCGAGAGGCAGCCCAAGAGAGGCCCAAGAAGCAAAAATCGTGCCATTCCTATGGGAAAACGTATATTTTTCGCATGTTCGCCTCTTGGGTTTTCACCGCGTCCAAGACGGCCCAAGAGGCGCCCAAGACGGCCGAAGAGAGCCCCAAGACGAGTTCGAGAGGGGTCCCAGACGGAGAAAGCCAACCTCGAATTCCGAGCGTCCGGCCAAGAGGCTCCAGGAGGCGCCAAAATGCCGCCAAGAGGCGCCAAAAGGCTCCCAAAAGCACCCCAAGACGTTCCGAGAGGCACCCCAAGAGAGGTCCAAGAAACAAAAATCGTGCCATTCCTATGGAAAACGTCTATTT